CACAGTCTCCTTGTCATGTTGTAACCCACCTTCCTCTCACACCCACTTCCAGATTCGTGTGGCCTGGAGAAACAAAAGTCCTCGCTTCCGTCTTTGCTGGGGAAGACATTAGGGTGATTCCTACCTCAGATATTTCCTTTCAAGGAGGAAGGTCAGAAGTATTACGCCTGACAATGAGATGCAACCAAATCACCAGGGCCAGATGGAGTCTTCAGGGTGACCTTGAAGAACCATTGACCAAATGGGTCTCCAAGAGACTGCACATCTGGTTGGCAGAGGCCAGTTCAGAGAGATTCCGAAAAGGTGACAATGCTATGAGAAGTGTATTTCCTGGCCTAGTTTACTGCTCACATTTCCCCTCATGGAAACGGCCCATTCTTACCTGCTCTGAGATTTGAAGTGTTTTTTGTTTTGTTTTTGTTTTTGTTTGCTTGTTTGTTTCTGTTGTTGGAATTCAAACAGTTTGAAACTCGCCATAGTTATTCCAATTAAAAATTTATGTTCTAGCCATTTCCATTTTAAAGTCGAGCCTATGTACAGCAGACTGACTCTTTCAAGGAACCCGTGAGAGTGGAAGAGGGAGGGAGGGAGAGAAGTAAGGAGGGAGGGAGAAAGGGAGGGAAGATCCCCCCATCTCACAAATGAAGATACTGAGGCACAACTGAGTTGCTCAATATCATCCACTGTGCAGTGGCAGAGCTGGAATTCGAGCCCTGAAGTAGTGACTCAGTTTACTGTGTATACAATGATTATACTGGTTGAGTTTTGCCTTGAGGTATTGATTTGTTTTCAAATTACGTACTTATGGTTGTAGGACTACTCTATACACACATACACAATTCCCTTACATGCTTATGATGGAAACATTTTCTATTATTCTGGGAATGGGAAGGGAATTCATGTGCCACTGATACATTCGAAGTCGCTGGCACAGTATCAGGTTGTTTTAGTTTCACACACGACCACAAGTAGCATTTTTCAGTGACTACTGTCCTGCTCCCCACCCTCCTCGCTCCTCTACCCCACCTCTGCACGATCTCCCTAAGGGTCTGCAGAAGTCACCTTACTCTCAGCTGGTCCCCAACACACTCCTAGATCCTCCCTCTCTCATGCCCTCAGCCCTGTGCTCTTGTTTCCCTACCCCTGGGACTGGAGGTTTAATTATGTAATGTCATGCTTCTCAATTTGGGGTAAAAATGTACCTCGAGTGTCCACGGCAGTGTGTCAGAGGTACTTGGTCACCCTGGATAAACAGCAAGCAGTTTCCTAGAATATCATGTTTATCAAAAGATTTTTGTGAGGGGTGATGGAGGTTAAGTGATTTATTTAACTGCTCTAAACGATTGTTTTCATGTTAGAGCATGTGAGGTGGTACAGAAGGAAACACAAAACACTGCGAAATGGCAGCTTCGGCTTCTATACCCAGATTTCCCCTGAGTAAGGCTCTGCACTGGTGTCTTGGGGGAGGGTGGCAATGGGAACTGATCTAGGAAAGGAAGGGAAAGAACAGGTAAGCACAAGGAACAAGTCCAGGTGGGGACACAAAGCGAAGCCATACAGCCTGTGGGTCGAGGGCCCAGGTTCTAGAGAAGCCTCTGTGTCTCAGTCTTATCATTTCAAAATGGGGTAATGTTGGTCTTAAGGGTTTTGCTTTCAGGATTAAAAGAAATAATAATGCACGTACACAGCTTATGCCAGCACCTGGCAGGTGAGGGGAGCTGAATTCACAGGATCCTTTACCATCATCAGGGTCAGAGCTTCTCGGGGGAGCCATGACAGCATCTGTTTTGCTTGTTGTATTTCTAGAAATGAGTTGGGAGAGGGAGTGAGCATGAAATTACCAAGTGTGCCCCGAAGGCTGAGGGATGGTGAGTTGCAGCTAACAGATCCACTAAAGACTGAGAATCTGTGACTCTGTGAGCAGGAGGACACATGAGCCCCAGCAGGGGCACAAGTAAAACTCACAAAGCACCATCAAAGGTAACTGGCCTCTCCTTGGCACTTTTCCCTTGGCATGTTAGCGCTTCCAAAACAGGAGCTCTCATCTGCAGTTATGTTTACTTTTGGTGGATGCTCAATGGAAAAAAAAATGAATCGTTTCAAATATTCTATGAGCAGACAAAAGCTTTCAAACAATGGGGAAACATGGTGTGCAATGATGAGGACCAACCACTTCATTAATCTGATGTGGCAATTCTGGTGTATTATGCACTCACATTTCATGAATTTTCATGCACCGGGATTAAAAACAGAAAACAACAATAACAATAAAAACTGGGGCCTAAAAGAGTGTGAGCTGAAGAAGAGGCCAGTTGTGCGCAGATGGGAGCATTCTCGTTGAGTGAATAAAATACAAAACCAGGTAAGAAAAAGAGACAAGAGGTGGAACTAGGCTAGGCTCCACCTCACTCCTCCCCAGTCCCGAGAATAGCTTTCTTTGTTGAGAGAATACACCTGAGGTGAGCTGGCTTCACTCCTCCTCCACTTGAATCCAATTTGCTGGTCAGGTAAGTTCTTCCAGGTGCCCCAGTGGGAATAGAGCCTCCAACGTTAACTCACAGACTCCCACATGAAACCAAAGCTTTGCCCGGGTCCTTTCACTGAAAAGAGAGAAATGAAAAGGACGCTGCTCTCAGGAGGGCCAGACGAAGGCCGCTGGAAAATGTTTTGATTCCTTAGACACAAAACCATTTATTTGGGGTTCACTTGAGTATTTAGAGCAGTGTACAAGTAACACATTTCAATCCACGTGCATGGTTCCCAATTGTGGGAGCAAATTAATCTTTTACAAGGTACTCAGCAGTGAAGTTGGAAGATAAACAGTAGGTGAAATAGTGCACGCTCCCCTGTATGTGAACTGTCTTATTACATAAACTCCTACACTGGAGCTCACCACATCCAATGACTGCCAGCCACTCTGTTGATGCGGCAGCCCCAGCTGCCCCCTGCCACCTCTCCTCTGCTGAGGGAGTTGTCTGATCAACCACCTGGGTGGGACATGCTGCCATTTTCAGTTTGGAAGGGGAAAAGCCTATAAATCTGCTTCCTGGGAAGACAGACATTGCTGAATTGTTATTGGCCTCCAGAATGCAGAAAACATCAATTTCATTGCAGCTCATCAGAGCTGGAAACACCTGCCACTTCCTTTCTCAGTTGCAATTAACATGCTGCATCTCAGCATTGATTCCAAGCAGCCTAACACTGCCAAAGTCAAGGTTTAAATGAAAACCGTACAGCCTGATATTATTTTTCAGTTTTAAAAACACCAACTTATTCGTTTTTATTGCTAGAGAAGCACAATAGTTGGAGATACGTCTTTATACTTGAGATAAATGTGAGTAGAATAAGTTCATGCTTATAATAAAAATAGTTCTTTATCTTTATATTTATTTGGGAGTGGTATTTATGTGTGTGTGTGTGTGTGTGTGCGCGCGCGCGTGCGCGCGTGGATGCACGTACAGAAGAACAACATTCTTTCTATATCCCAGCACCTAGTACAGGGATGCAGAACCCCACGAGGATTCAAAAAAAAAAGTTTATTAAACAGATAAATAAATGAGAGTGAACTTAAGAACTGTCCTTTTGGTCCGACTTATGTAAAATTCTGAATTTATAACTATCGTGAGCCTTTGGTTTAACTTTGAAGCTGTGTGAGACGATGAAATATGACCTGAGGCTGGGGCTTCATGTCTCATTCAGAGTCCTAAATTGTTCAGACTTGATGACAAGTGTTCTTTCATGCGACAGTAAAGGCTGTTTTCGTCATAATCCTACTCATACTGTATATAAAGAAACTGTCTTCAAATTGTACAATATTATAAATTTTGAGGGTTTTGGAGCATTCTCTATTGTGAATAAGGAATGGAATCATTTAAAATAGCTCAAAAACTACAATATTTGTGTCCTTTTGGAAATAATCATTGAAATAGTTTTTATATACTGGTAAAACTGAAAGTTAGTAGATAGATGACTATACATATTAGTTTTTACATATTGATAAAACATAGATAGATAGATGAGAGACAGACAGATAGATGATACTTGTACATATTAAGTAGAAGCCTGTTAAGTATGAGGTTTATGTTTTAATTTGGCCAGATAAGACATAGTTTTAAACCACAGAACATAGTCTTTGGAAGAGAAAGTGAAACAATTGTTTCTTTCACCTATTAACAGAATACTAGGGCCAAGAATCACCTCCTTTGTTGGCCGTCTTGGGAGAATCTTTCTTTTAGATGGAAATAGAGCAAATTAAAATAAGTGGCAATTAATTCTGTTGCACAATAACAAGCCAGACACTACATATTTGAGCATCATCTGTTAAATGTATACAAGCATCCAATTGTATACTTTTTTATAACTGACAGAAAAGACCGAGCTTGAATATTTCTACATATTCTAGAATGCAAACTGAAAATGAGTTATCATTCTCGTGGATCTTTTGTCTTACCTCCAAATGCCTGATGCCTGAAAACATTATTTTGACTCTCTCCATAAATCTTTAATACTATATGACTCACTGCCCCAAACATCTGGGTTATTTGTATATTAAATAGCTTATATACCAATATCAGAGTGATAATAGGTCTTCTCCAAATTATAACACAGAAAAACAAGAATTATGAGGAAATCATGTTAGCAATTTTCACCAAATATACAGATAAATAAAAACAGATAAATAGCCATAAGTGGCAGTTTTCATAGCTAGATGATAAGGATGGAAGGATGGAAGGATGGAAGGATGGAAGGATGGATGGATGGATGGATGGATGGATGGATGGATGGATGGATGGATGGATAGACGGATGGACAGATAGATAGATAGATAGATAGATAGATAGATAGATAGATAGATAGATAGATGCCTGTACATATTTCCTAATAATAGAATTCAGGCACTAAAAGACCTAATTCTAAAAGGAAGGAAGGAAGGAAGGAAGAAAGGAAGGAAGAAAGGAAGGAAGGAAGGAAGGAAGGAAAGAAGGAAGGAAGGGAGGGAGGGAGGGAAGGAGGGGGAAGGGAGGGAAGAAAAAAAAGAAAAACAAAGAAAGAAAAAAGAAAGAGGAAAAGAAGGGGAAAAAATCTACAACCTTAGGAACTTGGTATATCATTGCAAGGTTGTGTTTTAATACCCCCCCAAAACACTGGCTGACTTGGGAAATCCAGTTACACTTCTAATTTCCAGTTTGTCAGCTGGCCAGGCTGGTGTACGCTGACAGCATCTCAGATGGAAGTGGTTCGTGGGTCAATTTATATTGAGGAAAGTTAGGTCTCCGGTCAGATCCAACGATTGCAAAGCACCTTTTGTCCAATAACACATTTAAATGCTTGCAGAAATGAGAGAGGCCCAAGATACAACAAAGAGGTTCTTCAGTCTGCCTCTTGTCAATGTCAGCCTGAATCTTCAAAGAATCCCATTGAGGGAAAACAATAAAATACTTTATGACAACAGATTATCATTTGAAATCTTTTTGGTTCCATACGAAAACATCAAAACACCCAGGAATCTAATGTCAGTGTACACACTCCACCTTCCAGCTTTCTTTGCACATTGAAAGTGTCGTAAAAAATCCATGACCCAATTTGGGATTTCGTAAATGGGATCACTGCCCTCAGCTTCACCATGAAGTCAGAAGTGGTTCTGTCCTTGTCCTGTAGGGTTCCTGAGCAACTCCTGCAGAGCGTCTCAGAGGCTCTTCTCTGTTTGGACCCAAAAAGGCCACCACTGGGACGTAACCCTTGCTTGGATCACTAGTGTGTTCATTTTTAGTAGCAGCACCGACCTCATCCATATTTTATCAACAGATGAGTTTCCCTTTTTGCCATTACCAATGATTATAAAACAGCACTTCAAAATTACTCATTTTCTAAAAACGCTTTTCAGGGCCATAAGGACAGTGCTCTGAGAATAAAAAGCTTTTCTAAATCAACAGTATTTGGTGAAAACTAACGATCCTTGTGGTATGAAGTTAAAGTTTTATTTCCTTTTTTTCTCTTTTTAATAAAATTAAGGCTCCAATGTTCTATTAAACTCTCATTGCTTATGTATATTATATTAAGGCTTATAAATACACCTGGTAAATTAAATTCACCCTGGATTGAATTAACACCTGCTATATGAGTTATTTGCTTTATGTAATCAGTAATCTCAAGGTTTCTCCTCTTTCTCTGGAAACACAATTTAAATATTAACCTAATCTTTAAACTGCTGCTGCTTCCTTCTGACATTTGGAAACCAGTCATCCATGTAAAAAAGGCAAATATGGATATATTAACGAAAAGGCAGCTTTTTTGAAATCTCAAGATGTGTAACTCAATGAATTGGGAAGATAGACGGTAAAAGCAGCAGGAAAGTTAATCTCTATGTCACTTTCTAAGGAAAACAATGCTAGTCATCTGCCAAGGTCACATTCGATTGGAGAGACCTGCTAAAGTTGACTGCCAATTTCAAAAGCATCTTTATATTTTCTTCATTATAATCTCTGGAAGGATCTGGAGCAGCTGTAGCAAATATGAGAGAATTTTAATTTTAAAAAACATATTGCAGTAGTGTATAACTTAAGTTGCAGGTATGACAAATCCTGCAAAAGGAACTAGGAGTGTGTGAGGAACTAGGAGTATGTGAGGTGTTGGCCATATCCCCTCCTTGACTTGCTTCAAGGGAGAGGGCCCCTGTGCCTGCTCACGTCCTGCTCAGCTGACAGCCCCTGGAGAACACGAAGCTTTCAAAGTGCTGGTCTTCAGCCTTTTCTTTTATGCGTTGCTCCTCTAAGGAATCCACAAGTTTGTCCCTCTGCTCAATCACTTGCATCATCTTGGTGAATATTTCTCTCTCCTCACTTAGATCTTTCTCATCTTTCTGGCTCTCTAAAGGAAAAAACAAAGCAATAACAATAACAAAAAAACACGTTGGTCCTCAGGTAAGATTTGGCCCCAAGAGAGGTCTTAGCCTGAGCATTCTTGATTGTTTTGGACTTGTTCTGCCCTTTAATTTCCACAGAGAAAATAAAGAAATGAATTGAACACCAGGGAACTGCCCTCGAAGCCACAGATTAGAAAAGTGGGTGCTTTGTGCTGCAATCAGCTCAGTTTCCATCTTGAGAATACACGTAAAGTGACAGGGGAGGACCCCTTTGTGAGAAAAAGAAGTTAATACCAGCCAAGCCCTACCAAGTTCTCCAAACTCCCCTCCCCTGCAAAAAGAAAGAATAAAAGAAACCCACAAAATGTATCTGAGCTATAGCAAGAAAAGTTTCTAAGTAAGCTATCTGCACCGATGGCTTCTATTGCAACAATGAGAATCCTTTTTTTCATTTGCAGTTAATGACAAATTGTAGCCCTTTGGGTAGAGATCAGGCAGAAGCAGATCTCTGGCCAATAGGTAGATGCTTCCAGACTGTGAATATGCTTTCTGGTTTTGTCTTTCAGAGTAAGCTGCCTTCTTCCTGAATAGCTGGGAGCATCTAATTGCCTGGGGGAGGTAAGATTGTTATAAAAGCAAGGGCAGGAGTAAGAAACAGGTACTGTAGTAATGACTTTCTGACATTCAAAATAGAATTTTAAAGCCAGATTTAAGTCTTGTCAACCAGATGATTGCCTTGGGAGAGGACTTCATAAATTCCTTTAGTGCTTTCCATCTAACCCACCGGGGCCTGGGCAGGGAGCCCAACACAGAGTAGAGAAGGTGCCACTGTCTGTCAAACAGGCTTAGCTCTGAGGCGGGGTCATATGACAACAGAGGAATAAAGAAACACCATTCCCTTTGTACTTCATGTTTTATGGGAAGGCGAGAGCCCTGTCTGTGCTCCGGTCTCTCCATTCTGGGTCCTAGAAGCCCCCATGGCAGCAGAAAATGTCGTATCAGTTGATGGGAACACTGGGGACCCAAGGACTCTTGCCCTGTCCTTTGTTTGGAACTCTGGGAAGAAGCCAGCAGGAAGGGCGCTTTATGTATAAACAGGGGGCAGTGCTTTGTGGTTGGGCAGAGAAGTAGGGTGTGAATGTGGCTCCCCAGATCTTGATCTGCTGTGTGTGGCATGGGTAGAGCCTAGAAGTGTCCACTTGCCCCAGAGCTGCCAAAGGCAGCTGGCCAGTGGGCCTGCTGTGGTGTCACCTTTGATGAAGAATGAAGTGGCCCCCCAGTGGACACTATATTGTAGAATGTCTAGCCAAGTTGAAGGGAGGACATGCTGAGGACAGTCTGAGTAAGCCAGGGAACACCCCCAGGCACCAAGCACATTGAGAGAATGGCAGGCTGTGGATCACACCAGCCACACACCTTAGCTGCAAATGCCAGCAGAGTGGCATCCTGACGACGGGGGACAACTGTGTGGGGACTCAACGAGTCAGCGCCACCCACACAGATTCCTAATGCCAGAAAGTCCCACAAACCTGCCTCTCCCCATTACCTGGCAGTCATCTTAGGGACAAAAGCAGAAGGAAGGGGTGGCCATCTGCAAGACTGAACATTTTCATCCCAAAGAGACTAAGCATTTCCTATAGGGACTGTTTAAATCATTGCATCAGACTAAGTTTACCAGAGAGGGATAAATAACATTCTTTTTCTTTCTTGCTAATTAATGGGATGAAGCTTTTGTGGAAGATGAGCTCAGGTACAGACAAAATAAAGAAGCTACTTTTTTTTTTTTGTATACTTGAGAGGAGTAAGAAAATGTATGACCATCACTCTTTAATAAGTTTTTTTTTAGAAAAAAGAATTGAAGGTGGCTAATAAAGTCTTGGTGGTATTTATTTTACCAACCTGAAACAGAGCTAATTAAAAATTTTATCAGATGTATAAATCAGATACCAGTTATATACTATGGTTTGTTAATTTAGGAATATCCCAATTTTAGTGCTTGTTATTCGATAATTAACATAGAGAAATTTAAAAATTCCTCTCTGAATTTTGGCTTGTCATTGATGGACTAATCTGAGCCCTTTCCAACAAATATAAGATGATATACACCACTTTCCTCTGTCCTGTGTAGTGCAGCTCTATACAGATTTCATTAGAAAAAGAATTCTATTGCTATAAAGAAAGAGTCTACAAATCACTGCTATATGGGAAAGAACAAGAGCCCTTGAATCTATGGTTGAAGTTCTCAGACTTAGTTTTCTTATCTGTAAAATGGGGGTGAAATATCTAAATAAAAATATTCATGATGATGACATCTAATATTTACTAAGTACTTGCCCCACAGATAGGTGCAAAGTTTGGTCCATGAGGTATAAAAAAATTATTTCACTTATTCTTTTAGACCTAGGTCTTAATATAAGAAAGCCATGCCTGGGTCTAGACCCACAAATACACAGGTGAAAAACAGCGTAAATATGCTTAGCTGGCTAGAGCCAGTGAATATGTAAGTCAGTATATCATGTCAGTTGAGTTTATTTCAATTTTCTGTCCTTCGTGGCGGAAACAGTTTTCTCACGTGTGATGCCCGGCCCGGCCCGGCCCATGCTGAGAAGGACGTCTCCCTCACCATTGCCTCTCCCAAAGCACCTGTGTCGTGGCCTTCATCGCACTGTGCTGTAACTGCTTGTCTGGGTGTTGGTCTCTGTAGTGAGACCACAGGGCAGAGTCGATCTTCTCTCTATGCCAGGCCCACACTAGATTCTCCACAAATATTTGTTAAATGGATGGATAAGTGAATGAAATGTGAATTAAAGACTTTGTTCCTTTGCCACTGGGATGGAGCAAGGTGCTGCCTTCATAGCCCAGGGAACAAAGCTAAATGGGGACTTGCTGGGCTGGCAGTGGTGGGCAGAAGGGAGGCTGGCTTGGTGCTTTTTTCTGACTCCGAGGCCGGAAGGACATTTCGCTCTGTGATTTGCAATGGTCTCTCTTCGACTATCTTTCTGGGGAAAAATGTCTTAACAAGGCCCCCAAACATATCACCATACTCACCCTCCTTGAGCATTTTTTCTCTTAATTTCTGCTCCAGTCTGCTTTGGTGATCTTCCAATTCTAGTTCTTGGGCCCTGGGGATGAGAAATGTTTAGACTTTGTAAATTCTAGAGGTTTGTGTAGACACATTGACAAATAAGCCCACTGACAGTAGCTACTGCATTCTTTTTTCCTTATTAAAACTGCGATCTAGAAATATCTCTAAACTAAAAGTTTTACTGCTGCTGGGGTCACTGAAGGTGCCAAGAAGGATTGCTGAGGCATGCTGAACTCCAGAGATGATGGGGAGTAGCTGAAAGTTGTGATGTGACCTCAGCAGGCTTTTGGAAGGCCACTCAGGCCACCCTGTAGGGATAGATCATGAGAAAATGACTAGAATAATCCGGAAAATGAACAATGACCATTTGAAACTCCTCTCTCTTTTAGGGGCAACATGACTTTAAGTGTCACCTCTAACCACTCCCCAGTCTCTGATTGTGGTGGACAAGAAAACAAAAAGGCAGAAACAGGAGTGTGACATTTCGTCCAGGTGGAGGCACTAACACTCAGACAACTATCTGGTTGTAGGATAAATGGATAGAAGACTCAGGGATGCTTTCAGTCGTCAAGCCAGAGTGCTGGGGACTCAGTGTTTCCACTGATAAGAACAACAAAGTTGAGAAAAGAAGTTAGTCCTTGGTGAAGGTCAGTTAGGAACTTCTTGATCTTTCAATGCCTACAGATATCCCATGCATATCACAGTGTGTGAGCTCCCCAACGCCAGGCCATGTGGTAACATGGGGGTCCTCAAAGCTTTGGAAATGTAGCTCTGGAGACCTTGGGGAAAAAGACAACTGCAAACAGAGGTGTCAGGGGTCAGAGGTGATAAGAAGTCATGTGATTCCTAAAAGGGAGATTATAGAGAAAGAAAAGTTTTGAAGGCAGAAGTTTGGGAATGCTTACATTTAGAAGGTAAACCAAAGAGGTAGAGCCAGGGGAAAAGCAAGCAAAGGTTAGAAGGATAAAACAAGAAAAGTAGCATCAAAGAAACCAAGAGAGGAAAGTTTTGAGAGAGAAGAGAGAGGGCTACAGAGACACTGAAGAGCTGAGGGCTGACAACTAGGTCTCCAGGTTTGACATGGTGGGGCCTCCCCTTCCAGCCCCACATGCTGCCAGTATCTTCTATATGGTGGGGCCTCCCCTTCCAGCCCCACATGCTGCCGGCACGTGTATCTTCTACAGTGTCAGGATCGCTTTGCTATACCCTATTGTTGCTGTCATTATTTTTACTACTTCTACTACTGCTTGGGCCAAGGTCCCTGCCTTGTTCAATATCCTGCCTTTTGTTATTGACACTGAACTTCTTTTGGCCCAGTGTGGCAGCTAATAGAGTTGAGGCACTTAGATTTCCCGTTAAGAGAGACCTTTCCGGGAGGAGTGTAGTGAGCTGAGTGCTACAGCAGAAGCCGTTCAGTGTCATGCTGGAGCCCATGCCATCCCTGGGTGGGTCCCTGCCAATGACTGAGGAGAGCAGAGGTACTAGAGCTGAGCCATTCCTGCCCAATTTTGGACTCCTTGCTCTGGAGTGCCCACTGGCCTGGCTGAGACTTTCTCACGGCTGCACTGCCGTCTGAGGCTCCTCGTGCCCAATTCTCCTTCCTTTTAGCCCTTTTACAGGTATCGGAGCTGCAGTGGGTTCAGAAGACATCCCTCTTACTCCTGCTGCCTTTCCCTTTCATCCTTCAAGCCTCTCCCTAATATATCTCTTGTACTTCTAACTCTATCTTGGCATTGGCTTCCCAGAGAACCCAGATGGACATTTCTCTTGTTCATCTATCTTCAAACTAAAACCTGTCCTTTAACAGAGCTCCTCCCTGCCTTTGTCTAGCTCACATGCCTGAGTTTGGCCTCTTTCAGAGAAGAAAGTTCCTTCTGCAGTAGTAACTGGGGAAGCCAGTCTCTGAGCAGCAGTAACACCAGCCAGCGCCTCCCTGACTCTCCCAGGGAGACCCTCTGCACTGACTGCTCCTTCTACAAACCTTCATGGAGCTCTTGCCATGTTTTCTCATTACTATCGTGCTATGTTGTTTATATGTCTGTCTGTCCTGAAACTATGAGATCCTAGAAGATGGGGCCTGTGGCCTTTTTCATCATTATTTCCACAGTACTCAGCACAATTCCTGGCACATAGAATTTGTTTGATACATTTTTGTTGAATGAACTTGATAATTTGAACCTGATTCAAAGCAGATGATATTGTTGTATAAAAAGGGCTTTGTAGTCAGGTGGACATGAACAAATTATTTAGTTTCTTTGAGTCTCAGCATGTGCATCAACTTCAAAAATAGTGATAGGAAAAAACAATTACTACAGATGACCCCCTCTTCCCCATTCCTGGCATTTTCTTCTATGTCAGTGGAGCTCAATGAGTAGAACTCCTGGCCTCCTCCTCTAGTCTCCACTCTTACTCATTTTCACCCCAAGGGATGTAACCTTAGGAAGAACGGACTAGGTAAATTCAGCCCACACCCTTTCTCTCCTGGGATCAGCCTGTCTGCAGTAAATGTATTCTCGACTACTCTGAGCCTTGCCATATGTCTAGAATAAGATTTCTCAATCTTAACACTATTGATATTTTAGGCTGGATAATTTTTAGTTAGTTGGGGGGAGAGGGTGTCTTGTGCATTGTAGAAGGTTTAGTAGCTCCCCTTAGCCTCTGCTTGCTAACTACCAGTAGTATCTGCTAGTTGTGACAACCAAAAATGTCTTCACATATTGCCAAATATCCCCCAGGTCGGGGTGTGTGTGTGTGTGTGTGTGTGTGTGTGTGCGCGCGCGTGCGCGTGTGCGTGTGCGTGTGCGTGTGCGTGCGCATATAGGCAAAATAATCCCCAGTTGAGATTCACTGGTCTAGGGTAAAAGCCTTGCCCTTAAGAAGCAAGTGGGTCCATAACCTTTTGTGACTATATAGGTATGTCTAATTCTGGGGTTTGGTTAGTGTCATGGGTTGAATGGTGACCCCTAAAAGATATGTCCATGTCCTAAACCCTGGAACCTGTGAATGTGACCTTATTTGCAAAAGGGTCTTTGCAGATGTAATTAAGTTAAGGACCTTGAAATGAGAACATTCTGGATTATCTCAGTGGTCCCTAAACCCAATGACAACTGTCCTTATAAAAGACAGAAGAGGAGAAGACAGATACACAGAGAAGGCTGTGTAAAGACAGAGGCAGAGATTGGAGTGATGCAGCCACAAGCCAAGGGATGTCTGGAGCCACCAGAAGCAAGAAGAGGCAAGGAAGAATTCTCCCCTAGAGTCTGCAGAGGGAGCACGGCCCTCCTGACATCTGAATCAGACTTCTGTCTTCCAGCACTGTGAGAGAATAAATTTCTGTTGCTGTAAGGCACCCAGTTTGTGGTAATTTGTTATTCTAGCCCTAAGAAAATAATATAGTTAGCAAGCCCACCTGGGCTCTTAAATTTAGCCACGCCATTACTGGTAATCGAGGTGATTTTTTTGATGTTCCATCTATTGACCTGGTTGTCTTATTCCTTCCTGGTTCAGAACCCAGCCAGGGGAGAGGAATAGAATTTATGAGACCTCTTCAAAGACCGCCCCGCCCCCGCCACCGCCCCCGCCCAAGTTACCTCTCAGGATTGGGATGAAAACGATATGAGACAGCATAAGCAAAGACACTCAGTAAGGAACTTCGTTGCTTTATATTAAATATCACTTTCTTTCCCTCCAGAATGGTGACTTTTTCAGAATGTGTTGAGACTCATCTCTACATTCTGATCCCCAAACCAGGCTGCTACCCCTCATTCAAAGAGGACAGTCAGACATATTTCAGTCCTTTCAATCCCTTAAAGACACAAGGAAGTGCCCAGGCAGCTCTCAACAAGCCTTTCTTGTGGTTCACACTCAGAGGCCAGACATATGCTTCCACGTTGCAGGTGACTGCAGGTCGGTGCCCCCGGTCTGGGTGACAGGAATGGACTGAAAATACTTTATCCAAATGCCCTCCAGCTTCAGACCCATTACCTTAAATCTATTTTAGCCAAAGGACTCCACAGAGAAAATACACAACTGAAAATTCTCTGTACTAATGCCAGCATGATATGCAAGACATCAAATATCAATTTGCGTCAATCACAATTCTGTATGCACAGGAGAAAAAATCCTGGGACTGCAACCTGGGAGGCTGAGCCACCCCACTCCCGCCCCCTCTGCCTTTAGGACTCACTGTTATCTGTGTTGCCTTACTTACATGATCAGTAGCTCTCGTTCATATCGCATTAATTTATTCTTCTCCAGAACCAGCTTAAACCATTCCTGCAAAAGCTGTGCTTCATCCTGTGTGCCTGAATCTGCTTAAGAAATCAACAGCAAATGGGTTAGATTGGCGTTTCTCTCCACATGATCAAACTGCTTTGGACTACTTTAGCAGACTGAAAAGGGCTCAGCGGGCGGCAGCCCCCTGACGGCCTGTTGATGCCGCAGGGTCATGGGCATGACAAATAGAACCCACCTGTGCATGCTCCATGGGCGGTCCCCTTGGACATTCAGAGCACTAATACTTTAGTTCCAAGGTCATATACCCTTGATAATGTCCTGGCATAAATGACTCTTCTGCCTATTTGTATGTTCTCTGTAAACCTTCTGTTTATGTATTACATCCTTCACTAAAGAAAATTGTCATAACCCTGCTGGCTACTATCTCCTCTTCCTTTTCCTTCCCCTAATCAAATGCCTACTGAGTGCCCAGGTGGGTTGTGTCTCTCTTTCGGGGCAGAGAAGCTCATACCACATTTGGTCATTAAAGAGTGACAAGTGGCATTTAGATTTTTTGCAAAAAGAAAAGGCAAATGATGGGGAAAATGTTATTAGCTTTGAGACTCATAGGAAGAAAGTTGTATCCATCCATACATTCTTATAATTTAAATTATGACCTTTATGAAACAGAAGAATAACCATGAGAAAATTGGCACTCCTTTTAGATACTCAATGTTAGATGCTAAACGTATAGATATTAAAATGTTAAAAATCTGGGCATATTTGACAAGCAGCAATATTGAGATGGCTTTCTAGTATTTCACCCTGAAATGAGAACAGGCTGTCTGTATTGCAAGTTTCATGGCCATTCTAGAAGGATATATACTGGAGGGTCCTGTACGCAGAGGGGGAAACAATGCAGACAGAAGATATTTGTTACTTTGGGCAATTGTTTAATCTCTTGGAGCCTCTGCTTCTTCATTGGTTAAACTGAATAATAAGACACACAGGCAAAATAATAATAATGAGCTACTGTTTATTATGCAACTATTATGTGCCAGTCAGTGGGCTATGTGCCTTACATGCACCATCTCATTTAATCCTCACAACAAACTCACAAGTAGGTTTCCTTATTATCACCACTTGATAGCTATAGAAACAGAGGTTTAAAAGGTTAATTTGCCCAAGCTCACAGTAAGTGGCAGAGCCAGGGTTTGAACTCAAGTGAGCCTTATCCTACGCCCGCACTTTTCACTACTTGTGTAGCATGCCCTCCTCCTTCTCCCTCCCTCCCTCCATTATCCTCCTCATAGGCATGTAAGGTAAATAATGCCTCTAGCACATCGTGTTACATATAGCAAGTCACCCATAAAAAAGAGTTCCCTTTTCTCCCTGTCTCCTTCGCCACCTTTTTACTGGTAAGAAAAATGGGTCCAGAGAGATTTATATGCAATGCTCCGAGCTATATATTTAGTTAATGTGCAACCAATGCTACAGTGCAGGTCTTAACTTATGGTGAATTCATTCATTTGTCATTTATTCATTCAACAACGCCTATTTACAAAATAGGTGTTGCATACTGCCTTAGGTACTGGGGGTACAGTAATAGATAGTGTTATGTATCACAAGAAATTTGAAGATAGTAAAGCACAGGACTTGCTGAAAGGGTATTTATTGTTAGGTAATCTTTTGGATCAGATGGACCCAGAGAAATAGAATAAAACAGAACATTAGAAAACAGTCACCACAACAAAGCAGCAAAATAAGACTGTGGAAATACAAAGAAGGGAGGGCTTTCCCGGTCAGGGCATGAGATTGAGCTTCCTGAAGCAGGTGGTGTTTGAACTGGGATGTTGAAGAATGGAGAACACTTTGAGAAGAAATAGTGATGGGAGAGGACTTTTTCAAGAAGTGAGAACAATATGAGCAAAGGCAAGGGGATGGGCCAGAGACAGAGATGGTAGAGACAGAGATGGTTAAGGGCTAGGGAGGTACGGAGGGGTGGGAGTGTGTGACGATCTCATTGTAGAGGCCCTTGAACATCATGCTCGGGCTCACGTACTTTATGCTATAGAACACAAAGGGACACTTTGTATTCTATAGAACATGAAGGGTTGAGTAGGAGAATGATATATAGAGTTTACACAGGAAGGATTAAAGTGGGGAGAGAGGAGGGAGGGAAATAAGATGTTATTCTTTCTTAGGTTTCTTGATTGACTGAATGAATGAATGAGTGAACAAACTTATAAACATGTTGAGTACCAATGTCTCTGTGGTGCTGAGGGATGGGAATAAATAAGCATTAGTTCCAGCTCTTCAGGAAACTGGGAACTTGCGGTCCAGTGAGAGAAACCAACACTATATGGCCAAATGGAATACAATGCACCTCTGTGCTATGCAACACAGAAAGGAAACAACAAATCTTGGGTGGAGGCAGTGTGAAAAAAGCCTCAGAAAAGAAAACAGCGAGTGAGTCAAAACGGATGAGCAAGAGTTTTCTAGAGAGAGGAGGTGAAGAACAAGGCATTCTAGGGCATTAGTTTTTTAATAAAAGAATGAAGTATATTGATTAGAGATCATATATAACATAGATGTTAAGAGCATAAAATTTAAACTCAGATCTGGAATCAAACTTCCATTCTTCCACGTACCACCATGCGGGCCTGAGTACTTAGCCTCCCTGAGTCTCAGTCTCTTCACTTTCATGAAGATGCCGTGGGACTGTTCACACAAAGACCTTAACCCAGCCCTGGCACATAGTATAAGCTCAATAAATGGTAATGGTCATAATTCAAATTATAAAACATACATGGTGGAAGAACCCTTAGGGGCCATCTGTGACAGCCATGGAGGCACACAGCCTCCCACTCCTTCCATTGATGGCAAAGAAGCTCACTGCAGGGTTGTGAACTCTAAGTATTAGACACTTCTTTCTATTCATCTTTGATGGGCTAGCTGCTAGGCAGAGTCTAGTTTTGTCCTCTAGAGGAAAATAGAGAACACATACTACATATTTTACACAAAAGATATTCAGACATTTCAAGACAGGTCTCATGAACTACTGAACTGTTCTTTTTTCAGAGTCAGCACCTCCAGGTCATCTATTATTTTGTCATAAAAGGGCTGCCCACCTCTGCTTGCCCTCTAAGTTTCCAGGATGCTTCTTAAAGAAAATGCAGAATCAAAATATCCACAGCCTAGAGTAGAGAGACCCTCTTGAAGCCTTCTGTGCCCTGGGATTGCAGAAGTCTCTTTAGCAGCCATGTCTCCAATGGGCTGTTACTAACTTGCAAACGAATCTCATCTTCCCACACAAGTGATGGTGAAGTCTGATGACTTCATGTTCTATTTATGCAACTGACCTTTTTCTTAACCTAATTCAAGACTTTATATGAATCTTCTTGTTTATTTAGTTCCATCAAGGGGAAATCTTTTGAATATTGTATCCATCTGACACATTTCTCCTAGATTTGAGATTTCTGCAAAATTGATAAATGGGCATGTTGTACCTTTATGCAATATTGAAAAACAAAATTTCAGATGAACCTAAGAACAGAGCCTTCTGGCCCATTAGAGACCTTCCTCACCCTTTGGGTGACACTGTTCTAGAGACTCTAAATATATTCAACTGGTATCATCTAGCCCACATTTCTATGTCTTATCCATTAGATCATTATAGGAAACTTTAGTAACAAAATAATTTCCTGAAATAAAGTTTCACAAATGTCTGCCATGTCCATTGGCACTGTAAACTTCACAGCTCCACCCAGAAAAGAAAATGACATTTGTTTTTCACAGCTTCTCAGTAAATACCAGTGGTTCCTTAGTAATCTCTAAGTGTCTTTCTAAATGTTCACAATTTCTTTAATAATCCTTTCTAGAATTTTGACAAAGATCAGAATTCATGTATCTTTCTCATGTGAAAAGTAGAAAACGTATTCATCTCTAGTCTTTAGGCTCTGGAATTCTACATGGGTTTTCAAATACTGAGGTTATTTCAACACCAGGGGATTAATTCAGTTTATTTGACAAATTCTGACAGTAATGTCACATCCAAGACACTACTCGATGTATGTATCATCTTTCACCTGAGTTTAGAATCCTGAATTCATGCTCTCCCATTTTTCTTCTGGATAGTTGTTTAATATCTCTAGATTGAGGACCATTTGCCTTGAGAAAGAAAACAGAAAAGCTGAGAGTTGAAAATCCTGCTTTTCTCCATCACGTAACATGATACCATCTGCTTCAGCACAGGGCTTATCCTTTCCTTGTTCCCGGTCCAAAAGAAACAGCACTATTTTGCTGTCTTCAGAGTATTTTTTGTTGTTTTTCAGATTCAGCCTCTTTGCTGCATTATACCCACAGGGCCCAGCCAGACTTTTATCCTGGATTACATGTCCTTTTTCAATCTTTCTTATGTGTACTTCTAATCTATCAGCAAGTTCCCCGTGTAGTCACACTGACAGGTTGAATTGAATTAATTTTCCTTTACAATGGAATAATTTGCAATTTTATAGCCTATAGTTCATTTTTTCAGAGTCTTCCTTTCCTCAGTAGTCAAAATCCCTTTGGGGGATCTTTGAACATGGACTCCCAGGAAATCTGCCTTCCCAAAGCATTGGGTACAGGTGACTGTGCCCAGGCTTGCCTTGCTCTCAATGCCAGTAGTGCACTGAGACTTTGCTCCACGATTTTCCTTAACTCACTACCATCCATCAGATAGCTTCCTTATAGGTCCTGATGAAGCCTAGACCAGTGTCACCTCTCACTGTAGATGCAGTAGAGTGGAGTGGCAGAGGGCCTGGGCTTTGAGGTCAAACTGACCTGGCTCATCCAGGTATGAATGTGTCCTCGGGTAGGTAACTTCACATCTCTCTGCTTCGGTTTCTTCCTGTGAAGAATGGGGATGATGATAGTACCTGCCTCATAATTGGTTATGAGGATTAATGGAGATGATGCATGTAAAATGCTTACTATAGTGCTTGGCACATAGTAAATGTTCAGTAAACTGTACTGTTATTACTATCTTGTTTCTTCCAGTGTCTAGTTCTATATAGTTCCATGTGGATTACTTTCTGTTCATCTTTAAAACTCTGGA